CTGGTTACAAATTGAACTATTTCTTTTAACTATATAAGATATTATCAAAATAGAAAATTCATTACGTAAGGTTGAAATAATTTTTTTAAAATATAAATTAAAAACAATTCTAATATGAATATGAAATAAGTAAATCAACATAATCAGAATGTAATAAATCAGATCAATATCATTTTTATTTAAAAGAATTCAAATTACATATATCATCTAATACGTTAGTAATATTTGATAAAATTAGTAGACAAATTCGTAATATATTCGTAGATACATGTACACTTTATTACTTTATAACAAGTGATTAAGTTGAAAAACTATATCTTAAAGCTAATAAGTTGCCAAAATATGCACAGAGAATGGTTCATTTATTACGATCAATATAAAAATAAAACACACCTTTTCTTTGATCCAATTGAGTTAATAATTTTTAATTATCAATAATTCAATTTTAGAAATAACATGAAAAATATCGAAAAATGAATGATATGATTGCTTCTTTAAAAGATCTTAAAATTAAGATGTATGATGTACTCAGTACAACCAATAAAAATGATGTTACATTTTAGTAAGATTATTTATTAAACATAATTTAAAACACTCCTTTCGAAACTATAAAAAAAAATTTGATAATAAAATATGGTTCACAAAGGATATTTATTTTAAATAATACAAAGCGTTACATTAAATACAGTCTAACCGAAGGGCATGACAATATGGAATTTGATATTTGAAATGTCTAAAATAAATTAAACAAAATTTTGAAGAGTACTATGCTTCTATAAATATAAATGAACCAATTAATAACACATCTTCATAAATTGACATACAGTATTGATCAAAAAAAAGTGATCACTTTAAAAATATGATAAATAAATTAAATAAAACATTTTTAATAATAAATCATAAAAATATCATGTTTCTATTTCAAAAATAAATAACAAATAGTATAAAAATAAATAAAAATTATACTTTTATTGATAGTTTATAAAAAAATATATGAAAAATTGTTCAAAAAAAAAGTGACCACTTTTCATTTTCCCTGCAAAATTGACATGAAAACGATGTTTTTGTACTAACCTATGGGTAGAAAATTTAATTTTGAAACTAAAGTGTTGATTTGTGAGGATCTAAAGTAAGGATTGAGTTAAAGGGTTATTTCAGAAAAAAGAAATGTTTTAAAAACTACAGTTTTTAATATTAATAAAAAGTTGTTAGAAAACTTACCAATCACCAGAAAATTTGGATCTGGTCGTAAATAACTTTTTAATAATTCATTGAAGAATGAAATTTATTCTATTTATGACAAAGATCAATAACAAAGTATTATGGAAATCAAGAGTAAATTTGAAAAAAGTTTTATGATAACTGTTTCAAGGTCTACTATTTCAAGATTATTGAGTAACTTTGAATTAATAACTGCTAAACCAGCTCAAAAACCTCTGTTAAGACCTCAAAACATAGTAAAAAGAAAAAAACTTCCTGAAAAATTTTTAGGTATTTCGAATGATACCTTAGATACCATTATTTTTTCTGATGGGTGTAAGTTTAATCTTTTTACATCTGATGGTATTAGACATGTTTGTTATTTACCAGGTGAAAGGTATAAATTTGAAAATATAGTAGGTACAGTTAAACATGATGGAGGAAGTATAATGTTCTGGGGGTGTATATCATCTTAAGGTGTTGGAAGACTTGTTGAAATTGAATCAACGATGACAGCTGGAGTTTTAAAACAAATTTTAGCTCAAAATTTGAATGTTGCAGCTAGAGAAATAGGTCTTGATGAATATATTTTCATGCATGATAATGACCCAAAACACACCTCCAGACTTGTAACTGATTGGATTAATGAAAAAAACATTGATGTTTTAGATTGGCCTATACAGAGTCCAGATCTCAATCCAATTGAAGCTGTGTGGGCTTATGTAAAAACCAAATTATCAAAATTTGGTAAATTAAATAAAAATGAATTAAGAGAAAAAATTAAAGAGATTTGGTGTAGAATACCTAATGATTCGGTGTTTAAATATGTAAGAAGCTTTCATAAACGTTGTTTAGAGGTTTTTAAAAATAAAAGACATAATACTAAGTATTAAATTTTAAAATTGTCACTTTTTTTTGAACAATTTTTTATATTTTTTAATAAACTATCTGTAAAAGTATAGTTTTTATTTATTCTTTGCTACTTGATTTTTATTTTTTTCAAAAAGATGTGTTAGTTTCGTGTTTTGTTTTCAGAAATACTAAATATTGTTTATTTACTCTTTTTTTTAAGTGGTCACTTTTTTTTGATCAATACTGTATCTAGTTTTGAACCAATAAAAACTACCAAATGGCTTGTATGTGTTTATAAGGATGCTTTTTGTGTCAAAAAATTCTAAACATATTTTTCAGCGTATAATACAACAAAATTTTAAATGGTTTAGATTTCGTTAAAGTATATTTAGAAGTTATCTTAATACATAATGAAAATATAGACAATTATATTCAACATTATAAAATTATACTTGAAAGACTGAAAACCAGAATTTCAAAATAAACTTCAATAAAACTAAATTTATTTAATCTGAAATTAGATAATTTTGGCTCATCATTTTTTTTCAAGGAATAAAAACTGTTATAAGTAAGATATTATATAATAAATCTCTACGAATTTCATAATTAAAACAGTTTTATAATTTTTTTGAGTTTTGAATTGGTTTATGGACTTTTTACTTGATTTAACCAACATACTTTTACCCTTAATTGATAAACTGAAGAATATCTTTA